GGGAAGGGGCTGGGGAGGTTGGGGGTCTGATGTGATGGCAATGGAGGGATTGGGGGACAGGGGCAGAGATGGGGATGGGAGGAAGAAGCGGGTTTGGAGGAGAGCAGGGCAGCCCCCCGGGAGGTGTGGGAGGGGACAGTGCTGCCCCCCATCTCTGACGCCTTTGCCTCTCACACCTGAGCCTTGGCTGATGGCTGTGGTGGGGGGTGACCGGCTGCCCCCCTGGGCACTGAGCCCCCAGCTCTGGCAGCAGAGGCCAGGATCTGCTGTGCTGGTGGTGCGAGCTGTGCTCCACTGCCTCTGCCTGAGCCTGGGGGCTGTGTTGCCAGGATAGGTGTAATTCCTGGCTGTAACTTCTGTTTGAAATAACTTCTGCTTTGAAATGTTAAATGCGCTGGAAACGTTAGTTAGTGCTTCTCAAGGGAGAGGAGGAAAACTCTGAGAGCAAGAATTATGGAAAGGGAGAGGAGGAAATTTGCTGTTTGGTGCTGGCTTTTCAAAACCCCCTGGAAGTTCACGTTCTCTAGAGGTGACTGAGGCCAAATCAGCAGACGAGTACTGCAGTGTCCCAGCTCTCACTGTCACCTCACTCTCATCTTCATTTCACCTTCCAGGGAGATCTGGGTCCTTTCAATCCTGGCTTGCCAGTGGATGTGCCAGTCTGGTTGGCCATTAACCTGAAGCAGAGGCAGAAGTGTCGGCTGATTCCTCCGGAGTGGATGGATGTTGGTAAGGATGGTGGCTGCGGCCCTTGCAGCAAAAACAAAATAAAAAAACCTCTCTTTTCTTCACCGTTAGTGAGGAGCTTAATCCCACAAACACAAAACAACTCGGAGAGAAGGATCTAATGTTCCACCACTGTAGTTCTTTATATTTACAGGAGATATGAGGATCTAATGTTCCACCACTGTAGTTCTTTGTATTTACGGGAGATGTGATCTTCCCAGTTCAGGCTGGTTTTTAGCTTCTCTTCCTCTAGTGAGGAGGAAGAGCAAGGGTTAGATTGAATCCACAACTCAGCCACTCCTCTTCAGCAGTGACCGCTGCTCTTTGAGCAGCCCTTGCCTCTTGCAAGGCTTGTTCAGAAAGAGCTTTGAGGACCTTGGGTGTCACTCTGTGGGGAGGGCGACCTTGGAGAGCGTGTGTCTGTGTAAGTCACCGGTTCATGCACTCCATGGAATCATTTTCCTCGAGGGCAGCGAAAACAGGAGGTCGTCTCGCTCTCTAAAAAGTGAGAATCATGGCAGCCTCCATTTAATCTCAAGGGAAACTAAGGGAAAATGTGTCAGGGGCGCTGAAGGCAATGCCTGACCATTCCTGGTTGTGTTTTAGAAAAACTGGAGGAAATCCGGGACCAGGAACGCAAAGAGGACATCTTCACTCCGATGCCCAGCCCCTATTACATGGAGCTCACAAAGCTGCTGTTAAACATGTAAGTAGGAAATGTCTCATAACAGTTTCCGCCCCGGTACATGCTCGCATCGCCAATTTTTCAAGCTTTTCTTGGCAGCAACCCCAGAGGGTGGTGGGCAAGTGAGAGTTAATGGAGGTTTACTGCACCGCCTGCCAAGATCCGATTGCAGCCGTTTTCTCGTGGTAACTTTTGCGTTTCAGTAACTTGGGGATTGCTTGTTCTGCAGCCTGATAATTGGGGCTGTGCTGCTTTATTGAGCGGCAGCAAAGCGTAGAGGCCTTGAGGAGCGGCGACGCATTCCACGGCTGCAATCTGTTCAGCAGCCGAAACCCTCCAGGCTTCTTCCTTGGCTCTCCTTCAGGAGGAAAGCTCCTCTTTCCTCGGCCTGAGAAGCAGGAGACCGGGGATATTCCGGGCCTGAACTCCTGCCTGCTGAGGCATTTCACTTGTAAAATGTGCTGGCTGGTATTTTTCTCAGCGCGGGCTCTTCTGACTTTAAGCCCTCGATTACGGCGCGGTGGTCATTTAAGCACTGGCTTTTCCTCTGGAGATGACGCTCTTGGCGTGCGGCTCCTTCCCTCACGCTCGAATGACCCTGACAGCTCTGTCCCTGTGAATTGATCTGATCTCTCGAGGTCCTTATGGCAGCACTGAATTGCCTTAATGGGAGGATGTGGCACAGCTCGTCCAGTCCTTTCAACTTAATACTCTCTTGATAGAGCCACGAGAGCGCAGAGCCGGGGCTCTAATCGCAGCCGAGCCCTTTCAATTCCCTGGCTGCCTGTGACTTTGGCCGGGTTATTGGCCCTGCGTGCACCTCGTACCAGCTGGGCAATTAAAGAGCAGAAGGATTCTAGCGAGAACCAGATGCTGCATCAGAGCTGAGCATTCCTGGGTAAATAAACTATCCCGAAAAAATCCCAGCAGCAGAAGTACCAGGCTGGATTTTAATGTTGAGTTGCAGGTTGGTTGTTTTTTTTTACCTTCTTCCTCTATAGCGAACTGCTCCGCTTATGCCTCAGAGGGCTGAAGAGCTGCCAACATTACTTACGCCGGTGACATAACGTACGAGTCCCTCGCAGCCTGTTCTGATCCGCTCTCTTTTCCTCCTCCTCCTCTTCCAGCGCCTCAGACAACATCCCCAAAGCCGACGAGATCCGCACGCTGGTGAAGGATACGTGGGACACGCGGGTGGCCAAGCTGCGGCTCTCTGCGGACAGCTTCGTCAGGCAGCAGGAGGTTCACGCCAAGGTGCGGCGGGGAGGCGCGGGGCCGCCTTTGGCAGCTCGGCGCTGGGAGGCTTCCAGATGCCGCGCGATGGCGTGGGCTGGTGACTGATGAGAGCTGCTCGTGAAAATGCTGGTCGGGGCATGTTTTTCCTGGGTTGTGGGTACGTCAGTTGGGAACTCGAGCCATATGCTGCAACCTCGCTTTATGGGCTGCTTTGCAGCTCCCTCTGCGTTATGGAGATGGTGTTCGTGTTGCTCCTGTGCTTCTCCTGACCGGGGGTGGCAGCTGGGTCTGTCCCTTAGGGTGTCACGGGAGAAGCGTGTGCTGCAGAGCTGCTTTCAGCTTTCCTTGTCCTGTGCTGCGGCAGGGCTGTGTCCTCACACTCTGCTCTTTTCTCTTTTAGCTGGATAACCTAACCCTGATGGAGATCAACACGACGGGGACTTTCCTTACTCAAGCCTTAGACCACATGTATAAGCTCCAGACTAACCTGCGGCCTGGCGAGAGCGCCCACTCCCAGGATTTCTGAGGTAGTCGTAGCCAGCCTCAAACCTCCCAGGAGAGGGCAGTGGAAGGGAGCAGCCCCCTCTCCTCACCCCTGAACCTCCATCAGGCCATTCTCTACCTCGCCAAAGCCACCCAAGACCCTCACTATGCAGACAAGGGAGAGAGGGAGCCTCATGGCCGGGCAGGAATCACCCTGGAGCTGCTGATGGCACAGGAACAGCCCTGCAGGGCAGCTCCTACGCTCCCCAATTTGCAGAGCTCAGCCTCTCTCCTGGGTTCAAGGATCTGCTTGGTGCAGGTGGTGGCTTGCCAGCCCTCAGCTGCTGTCTAATGATGCCAGGCGGATCTCTGCGCCCTGGGGAGTGTGGGTGTACTTCATAGAGGGAACTTCTGAGGGCAGCACAGGCCACACACTGGCTTGAAAGCAATAAATTGTGAGGCGGTGCTTCGCCACGGATTCTTCTCAGAGCCTTGAAAAGGGGGAAGATGTGCCGGCAGCGAGAGGTGTCTGCCGCTCTGCAGGGAAGCAGATCCATCTGCTCTTTGGAGGAGGACAAAAGAAAACGCCTTTCCCTCTCCAAAGCCAGGCCGTTGTGTAATATACGTCTGACTTTTTAGGGCTGGTTTTTTTTTTTAAATCTGAAACTGTAGATACAAACAGAAATTAATAATCGCAGCTGAGCGAATGGCACGAAACGAGTCCCCCGCGTCCTGTCGCACACTGCTCCCCTCCTTTGGCTCCGGCCCTGCTCCCCTGCGGCACAGCGACAGGCGAGGGCAGGATCCTTGCCGGCGCCGGGCTGTGCTGATGGCAGATGTAATTATTACAGGCAAGGAGGGAAGGGAAAAAAAACGCCGGCTCCAACCCAACCGCCAGCATCTGGGCCTCTGGCTGCCATCTGTGCCCTGCCTGCCCCTGGGCAAAGGGCTCTGGTGCAGGGGTGGGGACAGGAGCTGCCCCCCAGGGAGGCTGTGGGGGATGCTCAGTTTGGAGGGGGGAGGGAGAAAGAATCCTGTGCCATCATTGTGGAAGAGTTTATTATCGTTATTAGTATTGTTGTTGTTGTTTTGGATGTTTTCAGAAATTACAGCAATATATTCATAAATACCTAATTGCTACATTCAACAAATAATATGTTACATTACAATTAAGTCAAACAAGTACACTTAGACCACGTTTGGGGGGGGGGTTTTCCTATTTTTGGGGGGTTTTTTTTGCCGTTGTTCTCTTTCACAGCACCTAAACTGCCCGCAGCGGGCTCTGCCTCGCCTCTGCCTCCTCGCAGCTCTCCCAGGCTCCGGTGCAGCGCTCGAGCGATCCTGCACGGGGTACACACAACCACACACAGCCCCACGGTGGGATAATTCCAAGAAATTGGTCCCAAAAAACACGATTATGGGGGAAAGTCTCAGTACAGGAGCTGCTAAGCAGCAAAGCACCATCCCAACGATGCTCCTGCCCATGGCCTCGTGGCAGGGAGGGATAAATCGCCGCTGATTTTTC